GTGCAGCTCGGGTCGCTGGAGCCGCTCCCCTGGCGCTGCCGGCGGGCTTGGCTTTGGCGGGAAGGCCGCGGGGCCGACAGGCCGCGCCCCAGGCCTCGGCCAGCCGGCGGCGGTGGGTGCCCACGTCACCCTGGAAAAGCCCGGGCCGTAACACCCCCGTTCAAGCAGGGCTAGAAGGACTCTGCCCTTCTTTTTCAGCAAATTCTCGCGGAGGAACGCACAAAGTCAGAATTACCTTTTATGCTCGTGGTTCGGCTGCACCACTTTCCCAATTCTCCCCATTTTCGCCATGGCCTCCTAGTAAAAGACAAACACAAACTGGAAAAGCCTGTTTTGATTTAAAATACTTTTTGACAAGAACAAGATGTTTCAAAACCAATCGGAACATTACTGATGTATTTTGTTTCGACTGAGCAGGCCAGATGGCATAAAAATATGTTCAATCCCATTATATAGTAGTCATGAGAACAAAGTACTGCAGACCCCTCAGTAAACCAAAATCTGTTCCTCTTTCTTACTGGGAGTCCAAGGCAGAACAGACTTATCTTTTATTATTTACACTAACCAAAGGAAATGTTAAACATTGCATCCCCGGAGGGGAGAATTCTCAAATAAAATGATACTGTACATGAGATCCCTTCATCATATTCTTAAAGTATCGATTCCCTGCAGCGAGGGAGGGCTCGAGCGCGCTCCAGAAGCTAAAGGTAACTCGCCAAGTTGTGCTGTGGAGCCCAGGGCTGCCCTCCCATGCCAGCAGAAAGGTGAGAGACAGATTTTGAACCACTCTGCTGTTGGCCAAAACAAAGCCAGAGGAAGGGATCTCACAGAATCCTCTGCACAGTCCCATGTCTCTGGGACAGTGTCACTTGTGGAAGGGAAAGGACCGAATAATTTGGTTCCATTCCTGATCTCTGTGAGATTCTGTTCTTCTGTGGATTCTCCTGAGCAATCCTGCTGGAATGAGACACTAATCACTACTGTTAATAGAGGATGAAGCTCTCAAGCAAGGGTGGAGGCAGCAGGCACAGGCTGTTTTCAGTGGAAGTTATTTCACAAGGAACATTACAGCGATAGCTTTCAGACGGAACAGTGTTAAACGTAAAAGATCCGGATTCAAGAATCAGTGTCTGACTAAACCTCTATCAGTGTTCACAGTTTCTAAGCAGGACCCTAAATCTGTGTTAATGTTAGTGCCTGAAGCACAGCACTGGGAGAGCATCGGAATGACCCCTGGAGAACAGTCAGTCTGTGCTGCTGCTGGAAACCATCTAGTCAACTACTACGGCTACATTTTTAAAAGGGTTGGATGATTTTACAGGCTGTAATATCTGCTGTTGTAAAATCTTTGCTTTTCACTAATCCAGGATTGTACAGCTGAGGATCTCCTAGAACTTTACAACATAGATGAGCAATGTAAGCACAGTTTCAACAGCTCAGGACGCAGGGAGGCTCTGAGGATAAGCCAGATGACCGGCAGACCTTCCATCTCCTGGTTTCTCACTTCCCCTGTGATAAAGAAATACAATCGTGACCTAGACGCCAGGATGTACGTGGGCTGCCTGGGAAGCCAGCAGGTACTCTTTCTCCCACGCACAGCAGCGTTTGCTCAGCTAGGCACCATGTCCATGGGATACCACCGGTGTGCCAGAGCAGTGGGCAGCCCCCAGCCTGCCCAGGGAGCTGAACCTGCAGTATTTATTGCCTGGCATGTTCTGAGCCTGTTTGCTTCACCCTTCAGCATCAACACGTCCTTTTATACTGCCTGTCCAACTGTGCTGCTGGGATGTGGGACGCCTACTTTCTACATTTGTCAACTTTAGGGGGTTAATACTGGATTAAATTGTGTTTCTACCAAAGTAAATGGCACTGCCAGTGATGGTGTGGTCAGGATTTTACTCTGCTAAGGCTTCTGATAAAACAGCAGGGAGTATTCCTGTGCACTCATATGTCCATACCCCTTCATACATGCAGAAGTTGATTGAACTTTGATTCCCCAAGAAACACCCTTCAAATAACACTTTCAGTGAGATAGCGTGTTCTTTTCTCTGGGACATGTGAACCTGCTGGCACAGAGACACTGCACACCAGCCAGATTAAAATACGGGCATGGAAAGGTCGGTATCTTTCCCAGTAAGAGAAATGGGTATTTATTCCCTGTTCTTTAACAGGTGATTCTAGCTCAAGCATTGTTCCTGTTTACAACAGTCTATCTTTTACAACTCCCTTACATGGCCAGCTGAATTTAGCAGCTACCCAAGAAAATGAATGGACAGACAGAAAAAAAAAAAACAACCTCAAAGTAAAAGACAATTCCCTCTGTTACAATCAATACTGCTTTTCCAGATAGCGTTGTGTCTTACAGAAATTGTCAGGCAAAGGCAAAGCCCCTTGAAGCACTCTCAGTAATGGAAAGAGTTCACCTTGCTTTCTGCTCGCTGCCTCACACCTCCTTTGGAATTGCCGTGGAGATACTGCACAAAAATAAACCTAAGATGTCTAATGGGTCTAAACATCTCGGAAAAATCCACTTTTTTTTCACAGGTGGAAAAAAAAATGAAAAGGAGGGGCAAACTTTGCCGTTGACCCCCTCTGTGTGCAGGCAGTGCCTGCCTGCTGATGCCCCGTTCTGGGCAGCGTTAAGGGAACAGGCCACAAACCACACCGTTCCCAGGACACGTTCTTCTTCTGCCATAAGTACATGTTCTGCTTTACTCTGGGGCCTCTTGCAACTTCCAGTGCTGAAAAATGCGTTACTGCTTCTTTGGGAAATAAGCCAGCCCTTTTGAGATAAACATATCTTCAGACAGGTTTTATTTTTACGCTGTTACTCATCTAACTCCAGGTCTCCTCAGGCTGGTTCAAGAGAGCCCAGACACCGGCGCCGACTCCACCAGGCAGGGAAGGTGTGAGGGGGGCTGGCTGGGCACAGCTGTCCTGCCGGCTGCTGCAGCCCCAGCCCATGCTCAGGCTCTCCCTGGCACATCCCTTCACTCCCCACGGTACCTCCACCATCCCCCTGGGGCCTGACACCTCACAGGGCACCTGCGACACGGCAGCCCTCAGCCCCAGCGCCTCACAGGGGTGGTCTTTGAAGGGTGAAACTGAGTCTCCAGAGGGCTGAGGAAAGCCTCCTGTGCTCCCTGCGAGGTCTCCCCAGACATGAAACCCCTGGCACAGAGGCCCATCCCCTGCCAGGCAGCTGGGAAAGGAGCCACCACGTCCATGGGGCCTGGAGCACGACAGGCTGGAGAGGTCCCTGAATTAAAACTGGTCCCTCAAGGCCTGATCTAAACTAGGGAACTGGGCCTGGCTGCTGCTTCACCCATCTATCCACCTTTAGCTAAGGAGGAAGATGCCAAAGCAGTCTTTCCCGTTTATCAGCTAAAATACTTTCGTATTTTTAAATCTACTGAAAATACATAGGTCTTCGAGAATCCACAGCATTAAGGTCTCATAGCATTTACCACAGTAATGTGGAATAATGTTAAAAAAATACACAGCCAGCAATTTTCAACAACTCACTCATTCTACGTTGCTCAAAATATCCTAAATGAATTCTCTCTCTTAATTTGCATTTCAGTTGTGTGTTTTTTTGGTTTTTAAAGTCAGTTTGGTCATTGTTAGTTTGAACAAAAACTTTACTCCCAGAGGAGAGTCTTTTCAACAATTTTCTGGGGACAAAGAGGAACAGAACATTGAAAATATGAATTTATAATGAAATCGGAAACAAAGGAACATTAGAATCACATTACTGAATCAGATCAACCTTGTGCACTGTTCTGTCTCCAACAAAGCCTTAAATATAGCAAAGTGATAATACTGCTGTTCAGAAATAGTTTGTTTGAGGGTTGACATCCAAATCCATAATTCCAGTCACCAAGAATTTCACAATCTTAATTTGAATGACGCTCTATCTTCTTTGTTTGCCAGTCTAGACAGTACAATGAATACAGTGATTTAAACACAATGAATTCTCTCTTAAAACAAAATATTTTGTGAAATTGCTTTTTAATCATTTCTTTTCTCTCTTTCCTTAAAGGCTATGCTATAAATAAACCCTGAAAGTTCGCATTTGATCATCATTTCTAAAGGCTGGGCAAGAGGCAAGTGAAGGGTTTACACAGAAAAAAAAGAGAGGCACTGTGGAGCAGAAATAAAGGGATGCATTCATGATTTCTAACCTTTTGTTAGAGTGTCAAAGCTGAGACAGATACAAGCCAGTAAACACTCTGCTTACCATGGAGAGAGTTAGTCAAATGGGGTTACCCTGCCCGGGACAGAAGGAACCCAGGCCCAGGGAACCAGATTCTCCAAGGCCCACTGAGGTTTCAGAACAAGGTGCCATTTTGCTGCCGGGAGGGTGACCCAGCTGGGAAGGTCAGTAGTCACTCAAATTCCTTCGGTACTGGGGGCTGAATTCTGCTCTTCAGTGTGATCTGGGGCAGGGGATATGTTTAAGACACCAGGGCAGCCTCAACAGGCAGTAGATCCCTGAAGGAAACCCTGTTTAGAATCCAGAGAAAACCCTGTCTCCTAGAGAAACCCTGTTTTGAAACAGCATCTGAAAGCTGGACATTTCAACCAATGTCCATTCAATAACAGAAAATAAAAGCTTTTTAACACCGTGTGGCAGGCGCCGTGCAGCAAGAGAGTCCATCATGTCGGGAGGCAGCGGGAAAAGCACATCAGCCTGGCACCAGGAGCCCACTTAGACTGCGAGCCCAGTCTGCTCCGATTCCCCACCCAATGGCCCCGCACGGGCTGTCTCAGAGCACAGCATGATCCTGCTCACCCCACAGGGGAAGCCCATCTCCCTGGGGACTGTGGAGGGGGCCAAGGAAGATGAGCCCACTTGTGAATAGTCCCTAAGTCCGATTTTCAGTAGTGACTCAAGGACTGAGGTGGATGAATATTACTGAAAATTAAGGGGATGTAGGCCCTTAGAAGCACACATCAAATGAGAAAGCAGATTTAGGGACTCCAGCCTTAGGTAAGGAAGTCAAGTAGCAAAATCTCATTGAAATTAATGAGCTGGGGCATCAATCCCCTTAAGAATTTGGGCTTTTGCTTTATTTAGATACTTTAAAAATTGTATCTGAAGTTAAATGGATGATAATCACAAATGCATTTTCCCAGATGTTTTCTCCCCACTTACTCATTTTGATAATCCCAAGAAATGTTTGGACATTTACCTAGCATAGTTACTAACCTAAGAGTGAAAACAACCACATATTATCCGAAGTTTTACCGTACAATTTCGGGGGCTGGAAGCATTTGCCCTGCATGTACAAAAG